GTCCTTTTGCAGGACACAACTATTCGTAGTAATCTGGAGAACTCCTTGTCTGGTCTGCCTTGTGTTCCCATATCTGTTGGGAGTCTGGGTTGCTGCCAACGTCTTGCCAGTGAGTCGTGTCTGGTTTTCAGCCAACAGGATTATAATTGCTGTGAATAAAGAGTGGCAAACAGCTAAGCCTGTGTCTGCGTTCATTACCGGACGGAGGGGGGCCAGAACACAAAACTATCCAGCAGAAGCTACCTAACCTGAACTTAAAACCATTTCCATTTCCTTAGAGACAGGTGAGTGCTCTTTGCACAGTTGGGAGAGAGGCCGAACCGAGCAGAAAGGATGAAATTTTAGCTGACCACTAAGACCACCCCATCTTCAAAGATGCCCTATCAAATAGATGCCTTACTTTGTCTTCTTTCAACCATTTCTCCAGGAGCTGCTTGCGTCCTTGCTGGAGGACCGGCCGGCAGAGTTCCAGGGACTCATACTTGTTCAGCTGCCCTTGATCCAGCAGAATTCCAAAATATTGAAGCAGAGGGGAAGTTTGTCCTGCTTGTGCTGGGACACTTTGGAATCGGCGGATGGTGTCTGGAGTGCGCAATATTCCCTATTTTTTTTTTAAAAAAAGAGGCGGATAAAATACATCATTACCATTGCAAATCGGTCAAGATGGACCAACAACATTAGTAAAAAAAAATTAAAAAAAAACTATTTGCAGAACCTTTAGACCAATGAGCCTCAAACTGGAGATTCGGACTTCAGCTCCCAGAATTCCCTGAGCGCACCAGCTAGTAGGAGAATTCTGGAAGCTGAAGTCCTCATGCCTTAATAGCAACATCACTTAGACTTATATGCCGCTTCATGTCAGGATAGTGGGGAAGGGAAGGATTTATACTCCTTGCAGACAGCTGGTCATTTGCATCCTTTTAGAGAGTCATTGAGGCCACTTGAAGCTTCTTTGGCTCTGACTGGATGGTGGGGAAAGGAACGATTTATACTCCTTGCAGACAGCTGGCCATTTGCATCCTTTTAGAGAGTCATTGAGGCAACTTGGAAGTTTCTCTGTGTCCTCAAGGTCACCTTGAGTGGTACAAATGCTGGCTCACTCAGGTGATCCTGAGGACACAGATACACCTCCAGGTGGCCTCAACAACTCTCTAAAAGGATGCAAATGACCAGCTATCTGCAAGGAGTATAAATCCTTCCATTCCCCACCATCTGGTCAGAGCTGAAGAAGCTTCTTGGATGAGAAGCGAAACATCTCAAAGAAAAACCAGGAAGTCCAATTGCCCAAAAAGCACCTTTGAGACAACCTGGATGACTGAGAATCTCCATAGACTTTTGCATAGCAATGGAAATTCTGCTCCCCAACTGTGGCCATAAATTGAGGACTGCTTGTATGCCAGTGCCAGAAAATCAAACTAAAACAAACAGGCAGGATACGAACCGAGGATTCAGACCTGAGTAGCAGATAAAACAGAAAAGACAAAGCATGGATCACATGGGAGGTTTTCCATACCTTCGGGGCGTTTGCTGCTACTTTGGCTGCTTCCGAGTAGCTCCCTTGGGCGAAAAGGGTGTTGAATTTTCGGGCAAAGAGCTCTTCGGCCCCAGCGAGGTTGTTCCGGACGGCCATTCGGAGGGCCAGGTCGGGATTCTGCAGCACATTGGTAATGTACGGGATGATGTTTTCTTCCTCTACGCACACTGAAAGCACCTTGAATGGAGGGAGAGAGCGCGGTTCATCATTAGGATCGCTTGCCTTCTTGTTTCAATAATCATTTTGTTAAGTTTTATTATCAAGATATAAAAAACCAAAGAAAGTGAAGATAGTGGGGGAAATGGGGAGGAGGAAAAAGGGAAGAGAAAGAATTGGAGGATAAAGGGCTAAAAAGGAAAGAGAAGGATTGATTTCTGACTTCTTTTAGTGCCTCATAGTAACATTGCAGCCTTAAATTTTTACTCTGAGCTTGGTGGTTTTCTTGCAAAGTATCACTTTATAGCAGGGGTGAAATCCACTTACCTTTGCTACTGGTGTGAGCGCACCTACGCGCATGCGCAGGACCTCTCAACTTTTTAAAGCATTTTTAAACTACCGGTTCAGGAGAAACTGTAGTAAAAAAAAGTTTTTTTAAAGTTCCAAAGATCAGCTGTGCGACAATCAGCTATGCCTCGTGATCGTGGGAACTTTTTAAAAACACTTTTATTAGCATTTTTACTACGAATTGGCCCAAACCAGAAGCATTTCACCCCTGCTTTATAGTCATCATCAACTAGCAATAGCACTTAGCACATATATCAATAGCACATATACTGCTTCATGGTGGTTTACAGCCCTCCCTAAGCGGTTTTACAGAGTCAGCATTATGCCCCCAACAATCTGGGTCCTCAATTTACCGACCTCGGAAGGAGGGAAGGCTGAGTCAACCCTGAGCCCTGCGTCAGGATCGAACTACAAGCAGGGGGCAGAGTCAGCCTTCAATGCTACATTCTAACTACTACGCCACCACAGCTCATGTGCTAAAAATGTATTAGCCATGTTTATAACAACAAACCGATCTAATTGGCACTCTTGATGTTGGGTTTCAATTATTAATTAATATCACAAGTGATATTAATTTTTATTATTATTAATATCACTTGCGGTTACAGAGATGGCCCGTATTTGGTAAGTTGGTAAAGTAAAAAATTATGCCTGTAATTTAATTTTTACTTTGCTGTGTTAAAAAAAGCTAGAAATCTATGCTTCCTATCCCTTATACCCCTCTTCTTATTTTCCTATTATCTTTATCTATGTATGATAATTTTAATTTTAAAAAAATTGCAATAGAAATATTTTTGGGTGCCTCTTCCAGGCTGATAACCCAGATGGATCCTCCCCCCCCCCTTTTGAAGGAGCTATAGCAGTTTATTAACAGATTAATGTGATCAGGGGAGTGACGATAGCGCTTGTTAAAGTGCTGTTTAATCTTAGTGGAATTCCAGCACCAACAGCATGCTCTGGCATCAGAAGGGATTTTTAAGATCATTAATCCTTCCTCTTTTACTACCCAGAAATGGGCCCTAAATAATATCACATTCTAGTGACTTATTTAATTTTATCCATCCATTCTTATTTATGGGTGTGACTGCTCAGTTGTTAAAGACACTGAGCTTGTCAGCTGGAAAGCTGACAGCTGGGATTCAAATCCAAGTGCTGGGATGAGCTCCCAATCCTTGCCTCAGAGCTAATTTAGCTCTCATCTGCTGGCCATACCCTTACTGGGAATCGAACCAGTAAGGGCATGGCTAGCTGATGAGAGCTAAATAGCTCTGAGGCAAGGATTGGGAGCTCATCCCAGCACTTGGATTTGAATCCCAGCTGTCAGCTTTCCAGCTGACAAGCTCAGTGTCTTTAACAACTGAGCAGTCACATACATAAATACAGGCTCTTATTTTCGTGGAAACACGGGTAGGTACCAC